GTTTGGGAACGAAAGAGGAAAACACGAAGCTACTTTTAAGCAATAGACGCGGTTTTATTGCTTATTCTGGACTATAGAGGAAACGGGAGAAGGAAAGAATGAGAGAAAGAGATGAGTTTCTGATCACCAGAAGAGCGAGGCGTCCCTCCCTCTTTTGATTTGACGGTTCTCCGTGTTTCTCCGCAGTTTGGCGTCGTCCGTCGGTTTGATGGCTTTCTCCGCTGTTTTGGCGTTCTCCGGGAGTGTTTCTCCACGGGCTGGACACAAAGAGAACGAAGTTTCTTTTGTGCTGAGTTTGACAACTTACAGCGTCTCTGAGAGCTGGATGGAGCGCCGCTCGTTCCCAGTCAGGTCCCGATGGAGTTGGAGTGGATTCCAGCGGTTGCGTGGCTCAATCTTGGGCACTTAGAGCTTCCGCGTGCTCAAGGGAGTCGGAGCGTTCGACAAGCGTGTCCTTACCGCCAAGTATCCTGGGCAAAAGAACGAGGTTTCTTTGTCTTTGCTGAAGATTTATGGTCTTAGTTCGCGGGAAAAGCTCCTCGGCCTCCCGCACATGCGCAGAACGTGTTTCTGGTATGAGGTGGTGACATCATCACAATGCTTCCGTGTGCAAAGCATCATGGGAAATGAAGTTTCTTGGCGCTGATGTGACTATTTGCTTTTCAGAGCAATTTAAGCACAGTCATTTTGGAGAAAATCACTGCATAGTAATTTCCTCATGAGGTCAGACCCTCAACATTCCCTCTTTTGGTTTCGGGGATCGTGCCCAAAGCTCGATCGTCGGAAGCACAGATGGGTTTGTCCCTCATGAACGTAGGTCGACGGTTCTCGGTCGACTTGATTGTCGGAAGCACAGGTGGGCTTGTCCCTTAGGACGTTGGTCTCCTTGGACGCCTTTGTCTTTGGTCTTTGTCTTGGATCCTGGAGCCTTTGGTCTTTGATCCTGGTCAGGCACAAAGAGGATAGGAAACGGGATAGTCCCCAACGCGCATAACGAGAAGAAGCCACTCACGCAGGTGGTACGCAATGATGATGTCGTCCATGCGAGAGGTAGTAGTGTAGAAGGAGGAAGATCGGTGGGCGGTTAACTCCACGAGGGGACACAAAGGCATCTCACCGCCGGCCATACAGTTCAGTTTATGGAGCACGCGGTGATGTACGAGGTCCATAGTTCGCAAACGCGCATTGACCTATGTGGTCCCAAGACATGTTAAAAATACCAATTTCACAGCAGAAATAAACATGTTTACAGCCTGGTACCAGAACATGTTTTAGGTTTAATAGATCTAGTTTACACTCATGACAACTCTGAGGGGGTGAATTTTTTTGTAACTCTTCTGTTTAAGTTTATTAAATGCCAAAAATTCTGATTAATTAATGAACATCAGACCTACATGACCGCAGAGCTAGCTCCAGCCAAGGCCTCAGCCTCGGCCTCGCCTGAAAACTGTTCCGCGATTTTTAGTCTACCAACTCAGACCATTAGTTGTAGTGTTTGTGCATTCTTTTTGGATATTATTGGTGCAATTGTAGGACAAAATGACTTTCTGTGATAAATGCACTAATAGAGCGTCCAAGGAGTCTCCACTTCATTTTTTTTCGGTAAGTAAAATATATTTATGTATTTTAGGTCACTGCCGAGCTAAGCATAGATTTTAACATGTACTGTTTAACCATGAAATTTAAATGTAATAGGGTAAAACCCAGTGCATTTAACAGAACACTGCATTTTTGAAAATGGGTTGAAATATGACATGTTGGTGGAGCTGGGTTCCGACTATCGGTATGGACTCCCTCCCTTCACCGGTAGCTTGGCGCATCTCTAATCATAACGCATGTCTGCTGCGCGGCTGCCGGCTTGTGGAGCTCTCAGATGGAAACCGGTGTTTTCCACCCAGTTCTCCCCAGCTGCAGCTCCGCCCATCTCTGATCGCAGTGGAGCTTATCTGCTGCGCAGCTGCCAGCTTGTGGAGCTCTCGGGAGACCTCTGTGTTCCACCCGGTTTTACCCAGCGGTCAGCCCGGCGTATCTCTGACACAGAAGCTCCGGTATTGTGCACAGTTAACTCCGGTTGTAGCTAGGTAGCTACCTCCGTTTGCTAAGCTCCCACTTCCGCGTTAGCTTTGGGTTAGCTTTTAGCTACATTGCTTCAGTTCGACGGGTGTTGTCATTTGTTCCAAGCCTTACAGCCCCACCCTCAACTCCACCTCTTTTCCCTTTTGTGGAATTGTCTGGGCTTGATGGAACCTGTGACAAAATGGCGGTGGTAGCCACCTCTCATTTTGGCTTAAAAACTTATTTTTGGAGCCTTTGGAAATGCATTGTCCAGTATATATGTCGATGCACCCAACATACTTGCACCCTGGTCGGGAAAGTGCAATTGAAGGGCGCAAGGGGTATTGGGATTGGGCCTTAGGCCCACTTCCTTTTATGTTAGACCTGATTTTTATGATTGTATGTTTCGAAGCAGCCAATATTTTTCCACAACTGGGCATCATTTTATACATTTTCAACAACATTTTGATAGGTATTTACAGAGATTAACAGTAACAACTACACATTGTCACTTTTAAGCTTTTATTTTACAAGTCTAATTTGTTGGTAATGCCTTTAAAAGAATGTCCGCATTGATGAATGTATGCATGTTCATAATGAGTGATACCGGGGTTTAAATATTTACTTTTATTCTACTTTTATACCCATACATAAATTAACAACATAGCCAATAAAAATGCAATAAATATACCAAGCATCAAGCATTTAACCCATAAATACTGATTGTGCGTGTGACTTTAAGATCATTCCTGCCTCATGAGGGTTCTGCTCTGGCAATATGGAAAGCTTACAGTCTAAAAGATAACATTTAAAATGATGCTTTTTCTCTTTTTTTTCCTGTGAAAAGCATTCACCGATAAACAGCATTCCTTGTTTCCAGCCATATGTTTTCATAATTATTCATTAACAATGTATATTTACTGCATCAACAACCTTTGCTTGTGTGTTCTGACAGCTGTTTGCAGCGTCAGTATTTCAGCTACCAGAGCATGTCTTGTTTTGAAGAAATGCAGCCCTGAGGGCTTATTAGAGCTTGATAGGGTGGCCTGTCTTCTCCCTGTTGTTTTTCCATCTTTGAAAAGATTTTTTTTCACAAGTTCTGGTCTCATTCCTGCTCTCTCCTCTCACTATATTGTATCCTCATTAGGGCTGCAACAATGAATCGATAAATTCGATGAACATCGATTATTAAAAGTGTTGGCAATAGGGCTGCAACAAACGATTATTTGGATGATCGATGAATCGGATGGGGTCTCGACACGATTAATCGATTAATCGGATTGCATGGGGAAATATTTAAAAACTGCTAGGGAACCTTTATTTCTCTCCTTCCTTCACTTTATTAAACACAACATTATTAAAAAACAGTTAAATAGCAGAAAACAACATGCTATCACTTAAATTGTCTTACAGCTTCAGATAAGTTGCATTGCAATGCAAAAATGTAAGCATATCAACATGCTCCTGACTCAGGCTGGCTCGCTTCTTTGAGGCTATATTTTCAGCAGCAAAGAAGAGTTGTGCGACACAACGAATCGATGACGCAATTCTTGGCTTGGCACGGGAGTACAACAGTGATGATGCAGCATCTTAAATGCAAGCATGTCGGAATCATTAGCGAGGGAGGAGAGAGCTCTGTGTCCGGGTAAGTTAAAAACTTTTCAAAAGTGATTCACCCAAGCCCCGGATTATTACACAGGCTAGACATGCCCTAAGCTCGTAAAAAAAAAAAGTCTATAAAATCGTAAGCGCAACGCTTATTGGATGGGTGGGGGGTGGGGGGCAGAGGGGATCCTCCCGTAGACTTGCGCTGCTGCGAACCGGCTCCGCCATCACATTCCCGCAGAAACTGGTTGATCACACCGGGGCCAGACTACTAGCATGTGGTTTTGCAACCACAATGTCCTCAGAAGCGAAAACGCTTTTAAAAGGGAGGGAGGAGTCCTAACTGTGGAGGGCCTCGTGATTTTTATCTTAAGAGGCGCTATAGAAATTATATTTTCTTCTTCTTCTTTTCTTCTAACTGTTGCTGTAGGCATGTTGCGTGAGAGTGCAGTTATATACTGGTTAATGTATTTTTGGGTTCAGTTGCTTTCATGTGGCCTAATGTGAGTCTATTTGGGATCATTGGAATGATCAGCAGCATTTCTTGATGTGACTTTATGGCAGTTGCCCAGGGCATCATCACAAGGAGGGCGGCATTCATTTACTTTTGTTTTAGTTGGTAATTTTTCAGTTATTTTTGGAAATAGTGATTAATTTTGATTAATTTACAGCCTATGTTTAATTAAATTTGAAAATTAGTCATTTGACATCAAGTGGAAGGGCATGTGGAAGCTAGTGATGATGAGAATGTCCAAGTGATGAATGAGGTCCACAGTTACATAGGAGAAAAGAACCTTGCAAAATAAGGAAGTCCATTGAAGTGGTGGAAAGAGAACAAAGACAGATATCCCATTTTGGCCAGGCTAGCAAGGTCCTACTTGTCCATCCCAGGGACCTCAACTCCATCTGAGCGTCTGTTTTCTGCTGCTGGCAATATAGCCTCAAAGAAGCGAGCCAGCCTGAGTCAGGAGCATGTTGATATGCTTACATTTTTGCATTGCAATGCAACTTATCTGAAGCTGTAAGACAATTTAGGTGATAGCATGTTGTTTTCTGCTATTGAACTGTTTTCTAATAATGTTGTGTTTAATAAAGTGAAGGAAGGAGAGAAATAACGTTTCCCTAGCAGTTTTTAAAAATGTCCCCATGTAATCGGATTAATTGTGTCGAGACCCCATCCGATTCATCGATTATCCAAATAATCGTTTGTTGCAGCCCTAATTCTTATTTTCTTTCTTTTTTCCCCTGTCCTCTCCTTTCCTCTTTATGCCTAACTTCATATTCATCATGTCTGTCTATCTATCTATAATATCACGTGTGTGTTTCCTGATCATCTTCAGGTTTGATACCACCATGGCTCCACTGGTGTTTGCGGACCAGTACCTACAGCTGTCAGCTAAGCTTCCATCTCATAACATCTACGGCCTGGGGGAGCATGTACATACGAGATACCGACATGACACAAACTGGAGAACCTGGCCTATTTTCACCAGAGATTCTTTTCCCAATGGGGTAAATTCATCTACAACACACAAAATCTCAAGGAATGTGCATAAATGTATGCACCTTTACTGATGATCCCCTTCTATGAGTGTTCTCCATCTCAAATGGGCATAAAATAAATAAACAAGTTGAGTAGACTGTGAAATCTAGTCTCCCTCTCAGTCACTAAATCTCCCATGCACCCTTCCATGTCCTCTTGCTTTCTCTGCAGGGAACACATAACCTCTATGGCCATTATCCCTTCTTCCTCTGTCTGGAGGATGAGAGTGGGAAGTCATTTGGGGTCTTTCTCCTGAACAGCAATGCTATGGGTAAAGAAAAACACTTACATCCACCCACATCCACATGCATTACCTGGTCCTCAGGGATGTTCACAGGATCAATAAGCACACAGTTTGAAAATAAAACATTTAAAAGTATCAATTTTTGCAATGATATTCTGCATAATAATCATAGTACTAGACAGGGGTCGGCAACCTGTTCCCATCAAAGAGCCATTACTACCCATTTCCCACAGTAAAGAAAACACTGGGAGCCACAGCAGCCGCAGCGTTGTGGGCAGGGCCTACCCTCAGACAGCAGAGAGCTGCTTTAACCAATCACAACAGGTGACAGCAGCCGGTACCGGTCGCTCGTGTACGTCAAAGTTATCTTTCATAAAAAAGATAATCAATAAAACGATTTATATAAAGTGGAACCAGAAGTTGTAGCCCGTCTCTGCCTACAATATTTTGATATTTTTCACCCTGTTGATGGTTTTACTGAGCAGGTGCCACTTTTGTCATACGTTTCTTTTTAAAACATGTTTAGACTGTTCAGAAAACAAATCCAGGCTCTGTCATGTTTGATTGTTGTAATTAAACTTTGTAGGTGGGGAAGGTCAGAAAAGGATCCGATCAAATTGTTTTTCCCTTGTTTACAGTGACGGAGATAACGGCGCAGTGCCTGGCTCTGGTGTTAATCAAGTTAAATTATATCTATTTTCACAAGAAAACAGAACAGTTAAAAGCAGGGCTTGTGTTGACTGGACAGTTCCCGTATTTGACCATTTATTTTGAGGGAGAAAGAATAGAAAGAATTACCCCGACGCATGCAGACGAACTGACATTTTATTCTACGCACATCGCAGATGTAGCTAAATCACCCAAGAAAAGATTTCCATCTGAACATCTGAGATGGACACTGCTCAGCGCAGCTCACTGTCAGCGTGTACTACACAAGGTCCACAGCGAGCTGAAGATGTGGAGAGGGGCTTGGAGCACGTTGCAGAACCAGAGCGCATGCGGGAAGATTCCTCCCACTGAAGCGAGTGTTTTCCAACCCCTGTCTTTCAGAGAGACTTGTCACTTAGAAAATGTTCCCTGATTATGAAACTTTGGCTGAATAGCGCTTGTTCCTGTTTCCAATGTGGCGACACATCCAGGAGCCGTCTGAGGAGAATCCCAGAATCTCATATCCTCTTCAGCTCAGCAAGCGCCTATGATTACGCACAAGCGTGACCCGTCAACCCGGTCTCACAGTAAGACCGGGTTGGACCTGTTCAGGTTTAAGCAGACAATCTTTACATTTAGAATTGGCATACAGATGTAAAAATTTATGCAGTAAAATATAAAGCATTTTATTTAAATATCCATTTATTATTTTACAAGCACAGAGAGCCGCATCAGATGGATGGAAGAGCCATATACGGCTCCAGAGCCGCGGGTTGCTGACCCCATACTAAGAAAACAAAGAAATAAATAAAACGTAAAATGAGTTCAAGTCAAAAGTGCAACACATTCAAGGTGTACATGTGCAGAGGAAAATTATTTTAAAAGTATTCAAGTAGGCGTACACATGATGCTTAATTTGCACATCATTCCAAACTCCCTATAATGTCTTCTGCTTTTACAATCAACAAGTTTAAATATGGCAGCAAGTCACTTTGGCTTTGGTTGTTTAGGTATTTGAGGGGTAATACTAAACAGCATCCACCCAAAAATGAGAAATGCTTGATATTATAACACTTACAAACATACACACTTACATACATACCTCTCAAACCAAGAATTAGGTTCTTTTTTCATGTGGACCAGCAAAATGTCCCCACAATTTTCAAATGTCCCATATTACATGTGGAAAAATGTCCCCAAAATGTACTACGCACACTTTTTATGAGACCAATTTTTGGTTCATTCTAGTTTGTTTTACTTCGTTCTAGAAGTGACTCTCCAGCCGGCCCCAGCTGTGACCTACAGGACCATCGGAGGTATCCTTGACTTCTACATTTTCCTTGGTGACACACCCGAACAAGTGGTGCAAGAGTACCTAGAGGTGATTCTGTTTGGGAAAAACATGAACATTCCCAACATGAAACAAATCATAACATCCAATGCATTTTTTTCCCAGCTCACTGGGAGACCCGTCATTCCTGCTTACTGGTCCCTGGGATTCCAACTTTCTCGTTGGGACTATGGAAGTCTGGATGAAGTCAAGAAAACAGTGGAGAGGAATCGTGCCATAGGTCTTCCATATGTAAGAGTCCTCTTTCCTTTAATATCCAGAATATCTGACAATGTTCTCCTCTTAATATCTGCTGCCGCCTCCCATATCTATGATTTTACCTTCATAAAGTACACATGTCTTATGATGGTAAACTCTGTATTGTGTCCATTTACCATATTTTATTATGTGTGACAATCACTACAACAAGCATAAGTCTGGCACAATATGTCCTCATGTGTGGCACTTTAGCAGCTTATCAACCCAAAATAATGGTCATAAAAATACTCAGTTTGTTTTCTCTGTGTTTACAATACTAATTATAAGTGAATTGTCAACTCTTATCATGAAAAGTGGCTAAGATCATCACTTAATAACCAATTTTCACAAAGAAAGCCTGATTTGGTTTAAAGAGACAATGTGTAGTTTTTACTAGGGATGAGCCGGATACTCGTTTCAGACGAGTATCCGGTACGGATAAAGCATTTTTGATGAGTATGAGCATGAAATGAGTAAAACTCGTAAATATCTGTAATCGTGCTGCAGGAAAATCCTCATTGGGTAACTGACTGTCTTCACGCTCTGTGATTGGCCAGTCACATAGAGCGCCCGCCCCTCCCTACACACAAAACTCTGCAGCCGGGAGCTCACAGCACAGTCTGCATCCGGTCCATCCACGCACACACACAGACAGTAACGGATCTCTCTGTGCTTGCTTCACTGTTCACGTTTCTTCAGTACTCCCTATGTTTTCTTCCGTTTGCTTCTTTGTAAAGTTACCTTAAAGTTATTTAAAGTTACTTTTTTCATAATGTACGTGGTGCATTTGACAAGACAGAGTTGAAAATGGCTCATGCTGTGTCAGTCACTCATTGCCTCCGCTCTGGTCGTTTTTTTTTTTTTTTGCATCTCTCTCTCTCCTCTTCCTCAGGATCCACTCCCACTTTCCTATTCACTCTCTCTTTCTTTACATTTTTTAATCACAATTGTACATGTTTTGTTTTTGTGAAGCGCCCCGTGATTTTTATGTTGAGAGGCACTATAGAAAAGACCTTTTCTTCTCTCTCTCTCTCTTAATTCATGCACTTAAATATTAATGTTCTGATTTTATTGAAAAACCTATTCTGTCATAGTTCCTTTACTATTGTGATCAAAAACATTTAATCTCAACTCTGAGGCTGCTCTGTAAATAGTTTTCAAATAAACAATACACATAGCAACTTCTGATCAGACTTAAAATAAAGTATGGATGTAAACCACACCCACTTCCGGTTAAACTACAACCATTTCCGGGTTAGCCCACGCCCACTCCGAGTACAGATAAAGATACAGATAATTTAAGATGGTTGAACAGATACAGATGCAGATAGTGGTGTACTCGCTCATCCCCAGTTTTTACTGTTAATCTCTGGCAATATCCATCGGAACATTAGAAATTAATTAAATTATGCTCAGTTGTTCAAAAGTATTGTCATTTTTGTAACAAAAAATCATGAAAATCAGGTCTAAAATACATGAGAGTGGGTCTAAGTCTCTGGGCAATGCCATATTAGACGCTATGTTTCCTTCTAGGGGAACCCATGATGACAAAACACATTTACCGAATGGCAATTAACCCCCCCACTCCCACCACCAACACCCATTTCTTCTAAATCAAATTTTATGAGCAATACATAAATAAGCAGGTGCAATATTATTGTGTATATATTGTTAGCCGTCTTTCACACATAGTCAGTGTGAACTGATTTAAGTGCAGTAGTTCATGTGCAGCATTGCTCTCCTATTTTATTCTTATATATATATATATATATATATATATATATATATATATATATATATATATAGATTCCTTTTATCTTTTTATATATATATATATATTCTTCTTTAATCTAATTATTTGTTTATCTAATGTAAATTAAATTTCGAACACAGGGATTGCATCTAATTTCGTTGTACTTGTTGCAATGACAATAAAGGTTATTCTATTCTATTACAAGTGGTTGCAAAACTTTCACCATTCATAAAGGTTTTAAACAAGTAGCTCACTGCTAGTGATGAGAGTCTGATGTGCTTGTCATTTTGCTGGAGGTTGAACAATCTGACAAAGTACTCATCCGAAAAGTACGCTCCCAGGGATTTTTGACCGTAATAGCCATCTGTTGGTAAGGCCTTACTCAAAGACCAAAACACTGCTTGCTTGCAATGATTTTGGTATGCACTGCCCCCTATCCCCAGGGTAAATGCACACCTTCACTTTATGTGATACAAGTGCTTTTCTGTTTTCTTTTTTTCCTGAAATTCCAAAAGTTGCTAAAACAGTAGCCTATAAAATATGCATTTAAATTCTCTGCTCTCATAAAAAACACTTTATGGAGGAAAATATGGGCTAGTGACACTCCAACTTATACACCTTTCCTTTTTTAAAAAATAAAAATTCCAATTGCCTATTCACCACTGTGTGTTTTCAGAGGCCAGATTCTTTACCACTCTACTATCTTGCAAGATGTAATATGAAGGCTGAAGCTAGAGTTCAACAGACAGTCAGAGTTATAGGAATGGCCTTTAGCTTAGATTGGGTAATCCAGCTCTCTGTCAAATAATGGAAAGTCTTGCTGGCCTGTGTAGGTTCAACGCCGGAACCACCATTTTTCAAGCGTCGCTGAATGTTAGCGTTGATGAAAGATCAATCGACCCAAGTTCCTTTTATTATCCCATTCATCCTTATCTGAATGCTAAAACTATACTTCCAACAACTTGTCGCTACTGAGCCGAGTGATAAAAATCTGTTCTGACTGCCATTCTCTCTGTCGAGCCTGTGAAAGTAAGTCACTCTAAAAAGTCACTTTCATAACAAAAAGATGATTGATGCATGTATTTTTTCCCTTTAACAACTAAAGCTAACAATTTTATTCCTTTGACGTCTACCATGAAACACGACTCAGCTGTGATGATGCCAATTGAGATCTTAGTATTGGAGAGCAGAGTTATTTAAAGATCAGATACCATAAAAAAATAATCCTAGTACCTCCATCTGATAATCTTTAATCTCTTTAAATCCTAAGCGTTCTTCTTCAGCTGCTCCTTTTCCTGTTGTACTCAGGAACAGGTTTGATAGCCGACAGTGAGACCACACTAGGTATTACCACATTCTGCATAATATGTCTGGAGCTGATTACCATTAGAGTAAAAATCTGGCAGAGTCTTCCAAACCATCTGCTTGAATGATCTGAAAAGATATGTTGGCAAGCACAGCCCAAGCATAACGGCACATGCTGGCAAAGAAAGGAATCACCAAAGGATGTGTTAGAATTTGCTGCAGCACAGCTGAAAAAGTTTTTGGTGCCGATAATCAGGAGTTTTTTTTAACTCACATTTAAAGTTGCAATAGTAAAATTTGGAAAACAAGTTATCATAAAACATTTTTTCATGCATCTTAACAACATTCTAACACAGTTTAAATAAAAAAAAATGTATAAAGTGGTTCTCACGGATCCATCTAAAAACCTCCGACAACTACTGGACCATCTGGTTGTTGGTCTTGCTAAACCCCCGTACTTTCCTAAGTCCTCACACACTCACATATTTAGCAACACAACACCACTGGCGTGAAAGGTTCTCTGTTCAATTTTAGCAGAGAAGGACGAACAGCTGGCTGCTACAACTTCAACTTTAGGACAAACTAAAAAACTTTAGGACAAACTAAAAAAAAAAAAAAACACCATTTGTTGCCACAAACAACAAAAGGCATTTGGACCTAGAAAATGGTGAATGGTGTTTAGTACTATCTCGTTTCCTCTGGCAATTTGGGTTTCCAGTTCCAGGAGAAGCGTCTCAGTGAAGGTACCTGAGGAGTGGTAAGTGTTTCGGGATTGTTTTTTGCGTTCAAAACCTAGCTTGTTCTGTAAATTTGCAATAACAGCTTAAACATTTCACAAAATGTTACACATTTTTTTGTCTTTAAGTAAAAATCATATCAATATTCTAAATATTCCTAACTGTGAGTGGTAACACGCTGGAAATGTAAGTGGCCTGAAGTTCAATAGCTGATTGAGTTGGAAAAGGCTAGAATGCCTTCTTCAGGTCATGGACAAGGTCCTGTCCCAAGTGGAGGAGTTTAAGTATCTCTGGGTCTTGTTCATGCGTGAGGGAAAGATGGGGTGAAAGACCGATCGGTAGATTGATAGCTGAGACGGAAGCCAAAGCTCTCAATTTACTGGTCAATCTACGTTCCTACCCTCACTTATGGTCATGAGCTTTGGTTAGTGACTGAAAGAATGAGATCACAGATACAAGTGGCCAAAATGGGTTTTCTCCACAGGGTGTTTGAGCTCCCCAAAGAGATAGGGTGAGAAGCTCGGTCATCTGGGAGAGACTCGAAGTAGATCTGCTTCTCTCCCACACTGCGAGGTGCCAGTTGATGTGGTTTGGGCATCTAGTTAGGATGTCTCTTGGAAGCCTCTCTAGTGAGGTTTTCCGCGCACTTTCAAATAGGAAAAGACCAAAAGGAAGACCCAGGACAGGCTGGAGGGATTATGTTTCTCAGCTGGCCAGGGAATGCCTTAGAGCTGGCCCAAGTGGCTGGGGAGAGGGAAGTCTCAGCCTCTCTGCTTAGGCGACTGCCCCCGCGACACGTTCCCAGATGCTCGGACGAAAATGGATAGATGGATGGATAAATATAATTGAATCCTATCTGAAACAATATACAAATGTGAATTTTGAGGATCAAATGACATCTTAACTAAATAAATTATTAATGGCAAATCTGCAAAACAAGCTGTCTTAAATAATTATTTCCTAACTCTTTACAATGGTCTAACAAATTATAGCTATAAAAATTTGGTGGGAAAAAATTATTAATGAGGTGGTTCACTCGCATTTGTCTAAAAATCTCAGCCAAGAACATGGCTTGGTCTGAAACAAGTGATAGGACCATCCGGTTGGCAGTCTCTTCAAATCACCGTACTTCCTACTTTCATTACTCTCCCACTCATTTTGCCACAGAACACCATTGGAGAAAAGGAGAAATGGCTGGCTTCTACCACTTTCACTTTGGGACAAACTACCAGAGTCCCAAAAAGAAAAACACCATCTGAAGTTGTGAAAAACAATTTTCTGGGTCCCTTATATAGGAAACCTTTTACTGATTGGCTTAATGAAATGAACTGTATTGAAATGTTTAATATGTGAAGTGCCTTAAGATGACTCGTCATGACTTGGTGCTATATAAATAAACTTGAATTGAATATAATTGAAATAGGGCTGCACGATATTAGGAAAACCTGTGAAATTCAATAACAGTGCTTAATATTGCGATATCGATATTACTCACGATAAATGAACAAATACTAAAGTATGCAGTGTTGATGTCATCTGGCGTGTGAACGGACCCATATGACTGGCCGCATATCAGAAGGGCTACATTTGATTGGTCAAATAATACTTCCGCGTAAAAAACTGAGCTGGTTTCCAAAACGTTTATGTATGACACGGATGGAAATGTTTGAACCAAACATTTATCGCCGTTTTTAACGCTTTGCGGTGCGCCTATCACACGTCCTGTTATCGCGATGACGACAATTTTTCGATATATTGAGCAGCCCTAAATTGAAAAGACGTTTGAACCTAGAAAACTGCAATTGGCGTTTAGCAGTCTCTCGTTAACTGTGGTAATGCACGTTCCAGTAGCAGGGATGATAGCCGAAGGGAGAGGTGAGAGTTGTGTGGCTGTGTGTATGTATTTAACAGCTAGCTTGTTTAGCAGATTTGTCATTGCAGCCTTAACATTTACAGGCTTTCAAACAAAACACATTTTTAAAGCATTTTAAAATGTGTTTTAACTGCAGGTAAATAATTCTGTGTACACTAAATATCCAATAACAAAGCATTCTTTGCCTCACACAGGACATTCAATACACTGACATCGACTACATGGAAGAGAAAAAGGATTTCACATATGACAAAGTCAACTTCAGGAACCTGCCCCAGTTTGCCGATTACCTCCATGACAAGGGACAGAGGTACATCCTGATCCTGGTGAGAAACATTTGTGCTTTGTCTGTGTTGGTTTAAACAGTAAAATTACAAGAACTTAGGCCCTGTCCACACGTAGCTGGGGATCTGCCAAAACGTAGATATTTTTCTACGTTTTGGCCTGTCATCCACACGAAAACTGAGTTTTTTCACACGAAAACTAATCTTTTTAAAAACTCCGACCAAAGTGAAGATCTGCGTTTTCTCCGTTTTGGGTGTCTGCGTGTGGACAGACAAAACCGGAGTTTTAAGGTCCGCAACGTCACTTTCCGCGACAAAAAAATGCTGACATCACGTGTGCGACCTGTGTTTGCACTAGCCGACAGCATGGATGCCCTCAGATCTGCGCTCGCTTTATCAATTGTCCAAGTGCTTTTTGCTTGTTTGTTTTTGCAAGCGGAATTACTGCTCCTTGCGGAAGACCACAGACGAAGGACGAGGTTAAGAACGGGGGAAGTACTGCCACCTACAGGTCTGGCATGTCCTTAACAATGTATTTATCCGGGTACGTGTGGACAGTTTTTTTTTTTTAAAACGAGGTGGTGTGGATGCAAGTTTTTGGAAGGGCAGATATTCGTTTTTAAAAAAACCTGGCTAAGTGTGGACTAGGCCTTAGACCAGTTATATAATTCTTCAGGATTTCTTCTTTGTGTGTGTGTGTGTGTGTGTGTGTGTGGGGGGGGGGGGGGGGGGGGGGGGGGTTTACATTGATAGGTTTATGTTTGAAATCCAAATACACTTTAAGGAAAATTTAAATTATCTGTTGCATAATACATATGTATATAAATATTAAATTATTTAATGTTGGATATTGAACACATAAATTCCCCTATTTTTAGTCTTATTTAAATATACTAGCTGAATGACTGCAGCTCTGTTGTCTCATCTTCATGTTTAATGATTGCAGACAGTAATTCAGGTGTGGGAGAATCAAACAATTTTTGTGCTTTTTTTAAATCTTAATGGTTCATTCACATAATTTTTAATTTTTGAACCCATTATTGCACCTACATACTTTTAGCATTGATTTTTTTTAAATAACAGACTTTTCCATTTCCCTCCACCAACATTGACCTAAAAATATAGAGCAATAATGAGTATATGCAAGATTATACTGTATATAGCTATATACAGCAGCACTGAACAATATAAAAGCATGTATAAAAAAATGTACAAAATGAAAAGTATGTGCCTGAGAACAAAGCCTTGGGGTACAACAGCATTTGCAAAGCAAATGTGTTGTTTTCTATTATTCAAATGTGAATATTATTAAACAAGAACTAGAAAAAAAATAGTTTAATAACTTATGGTGGATTGTATCAAAAAGATTTTACATCAGTAAAGCTGGTCACTGATTCAACACCTTCCTCTTTTATTTTGTTTTTTAAAAACAAATACAGAAATAATATAAATACTAAAGTAGTATCAGTCAAATAGATTTTCTGCTATCTAAGTTGCATAATGTTGTATTATAAAATATTATGGTATATTATTCTGAACATCAATTGGGCATAACTGCTCATAAAAATGTTAAAGCAAAAAATATTCTGATGTTGAAATTAATTATTTGAATGATAGCATCCATGAGTTATTGTCATTGACCTTTTATTGCTAAACTCAGTTAATTTACAGTTTTGCCCTCCTAATCATATGGAACTTTAATCTGTAGGTTTGTGCACTGGTGCCATACTGAATATTTTCAACTGTCCCCAGGATCCTGCGATAGCCATCAGTAAGAGGGTCAATGGAGCTCCATATGAATCTTATGATCGTGGGATGGCCAAGAATGCTTGGGTCACAGAGTCAGATGGGACAACTCCTCTTGAAGGAGAGGTGAGCAACATTTATTTTCAAGAGAGAGTGCAAGTAAAGCTGGATTCTACAGTAAAAACCAAGGTTTGAGTGGTTTAAGGGAAATGAATCATTCCCACCTGCTGTTGTTCAAGCCTTGCCGGGCAGAGACTGACTAGGGGTTTTCTTACACCCCTGTTTCTAGTTTGCTTCCTGGGGCTAGAGGCTAGGATTTGTCAAGAAATTAATTGATGACTGTTGTGTAATGACCCATGAAGTTATTGATTGTAGTCCCCTTCTGTCAAAATGTATATTGATGATCTGCTTGACGTATTCAGTCTGCAAAGTTAGGATTGATAACTATTTTGTGTTAGGATTCCCATGTATTGGATGCATTTACAGAACAAAGGTAAGTTGATGCTTTGTCTAGGTAAGTGAAATGATTGCGAGCTGAGGAGACAATTGGTGGAATGTGGTTGGTTGATGTCTTGAATCTGGTGAACTTAGCTTGTTCATCCAAATACTTCCTGACACTGCTTAGTAAGAGAATGAGCAGTTAGTTGCTAGGCAACAACCCCCACCACTGATTCCCATGTATTGGATGCATTTACAGAACAAAGGTAAGTGAAATGATTGGGAGCCAAGTGTGTGTGTGTGTGTGTGTGTGTGTGTGTGTGTGTGTGTGTGTGTGTGTGTGTGTGTGTGTGTGTGTGTGTGTGTGTGTGTGTGTGTGTGTAGGGTTGGAGGGTCTCACCTATGAAAGGGAGGGGCTGTGGGAACTGTGGGGTGAGGTATCCTAACACAAAAGAGTTATCAATCCTAACTTGACGTAAAGTGGTGCAGATTGAATACATCAAAGCAGATCATCAATATACATCTTGACAGAAGGGGTCTCAGGGACTACAATCAATAACTTCATGGGTCATTACACAACAGTCATCAATTCATTTCTTGACATATGGGGTCATTAAAGGTCATATCACAAAAGGTCATAAAACAATACACCTGTCAAGTTTGATGTAAGGTGGTTTGGGGGAAAGGTCATCAAGGTCAAAGAACAATAGACCTGTCAAAAATTGTGATGAAGGGTGGTTTCTTCATCTCTAATGTGTTTATGTGTGAGCATGAGGGTGGGAGTGTGTGACTGTGTTTGTGTGTGACAGTATCTGTCAGGTAGGGTCTTGGACTCCCCTCTCCCAGGACATCTTGTGGTGCTACAACATCTTTGCCTACCCTCCCCCTGCCACATTTGGTGCCGTGGTTTACATTCAAATGTGCAGCTCCCGTGTCAGGGGCTGGAAGTTTTTGGCATCTGCCAGCTCACGCAGTAGGGTCTGGATGCCTGGACGCTGTTGGGTCTCTGTCGGAGCTGGGGGCCCTTAGGTTCTGGGCTGCTGAGTTCTAAGCTCGGCCTTTCCAGGAGTGGGCAGCTGCAGGCAGGCCTGGGGAGTTGCCATTGTTACCTCCTGGGCTTCTGGCATGGCTGCTGGTTGGCCCTCCCAGGGTGATCCTCTGCACCTGTCGAGAGGGGGGTTGGGACATCCATGGCAGCGGTCTTCCTGGGGTCTTTGCACTCCGGAGGAGACCTCTGAATCTCTGGGACTTGGATTTCCTTCATCTTCCGTGGGCCTTTGGGAGCAGGTGTGTGGCCCCTCACATTAACTCTTAGGCACTCCAATAGAGAACCCTCACAAGCGCGTGCACTCACAGGTGCTCACGTGGTGCTCTCACAAGAATTGACCTGAGCGTTTTTGACACGTAACCTAAGGCTGTGGTTAGCACTAAATGCACTTACTACTGTCGTTTTTTCCGCAAAATTTCTAACTGTTATATATCCTCACGTTATTACTGCAGTGATATTTTAGTTCTGTTGTATTTTTGTGGATTCTTCACCTGTGAAAGTAAAATTGTAAAGCTTGTCTTCGGCACTCAGACATCAGTTCTGATTGCCTTACAGCCAGACAGGATAGTAAAAAAAAGAAATAAATGAAAAATAAATATCAAAAAGGAAAAACAGTTTTGAAAACTATATATTTGCTCATGCATATATAATACCTGTATGAAATTTGTTTAAGTGCATATTGCAAAAAGTGGTTTAATGTCAATATCACTGTCCAAGAGGCTCCAACCCATAAACTTTGTTCAGGCATGTTATGAACACTCATGAAACTCCGATATGTCGTGCTAGACATTAAAAGACCATGAATATAAAAAAATACAATAAAACAGTTTCCGCACATTTTCGCTGAAGATGAATAGTGACAGAAAATATATAAATATGCCTTAGCAGCTAATTAAGACTAGACTGTTCATTGGGTATGTGGTTAATTAAAAGAACCCTACTGACACTGGCACAGCTTGTTTTCTGATAAGCTGCATGTTTGAACTAAAAAGGACATTAATTCCAAATTAAAGGTTAAACTTTTGATACGAAACGGAGTAAATTGAGATTTAAATGGCATTTTTTGGCTGCCTATGAGTGCAAATAAGTCTCCTACTTTGAATCACTCACACACACACACACACACACACACACACACACACACACACACACACACACACACACACACACACACACACACACATTAAATCAAATGTTATTTTCAATACATAAACAACAATTAAAGTAGCTAAAATCTATGCTAAGTAATTTTACTCTAAACCATCCACACTTTTAGTCTGAAGATATTTAACTTATTTGCTTTTAAAAATATATATAAATGTCAGAAATCCTCAATATGTTAAATCAAATTGATCAGGTGATATTTTCACATTTCAATATTTACTGTTTGACCTTTTTTGCATTTGACAAAGATTCTATATTATTGAGATAAATATATGTATTTGCCATGTTTGTGCATGTGTGTGTACAGCGAGCTCACAGCTTTCATCAGTCCATGTTATACTCCCAAATGGAAGTTAAACCATACAGAATGTTATTTTTGATCCCTTTTTCCCCACAGAGCTCACATTTAAAAGGCTCTTCCCTGCAGAGTGTTGAGGTGGGAGGGGGGTAGAAGAATGTTGCTTCTGTGCGTTTATAGTGTTGCCTTTGATTACACACACGATTAGCCCTAGTACCCCCCCAGTAACCATCTTTTCATGCTGTTTATGAACAGGTCAAACATATGCATTGATTCTGCATTAGGATTTAATCTTAAAATGTTCTAAATCACCGCATGACAGATTGGCAAAGCCAATGGCTGTGGAGAGTGTGCGTTTGTGAGATAGAAATGGGGAGGGGGATAAATAAGCATGTGTGTATGTGTGAGTTCATCTGTGTGTACCAGTTTGAAAATGAAATGCTATTCTTAGTGGTCTATGTTTTACCTTAGTGCATGCAGATGGGACGTGTGAATGTAACTGACTGTAGTTTACTTTCATATGTTGTGTTCTTGTTATAAAAACAGTCCACGCTTTCCAACTTTTGCAGCCTCTACACCAGCGATACAGCAGCAAGCTGGTGATTATTTAGCTTTTAAAGCAGCTAATTGCTCCCAAAGACGAGGATAAAAGCTGGTGGCTCAAATGTTTAACCGTGAGGAAAATCTTAGAAATCCAACTCACACAGCGTTGCACTTCTTGACCAAAGAGGTAACGAATGGAAGTAAAGAAAGAAAACAAAGCTTTTGAGAGTTTAAAGGTGAGGATGGCAGACAGAAACTTCAAAGGCAAACAGGCAGGCACAGGTAAAAGATTAGCAGTGGATATAGATAGCAGATTAGAAGGACCATGGAGACAGTCTGGCTGTCCTACAGAGTGGCTGACAGAGGATCCACGATAATGAAATAAAAGAAACAACAGGTTATCACAGAGCAAAGGGATGGTCAATGTAAAGGAGCCACTTTGTAGAAAGTCAAAGCCACAAGTCACAGGAACAGGAGAAAGAGACTAGGAGAACAACAGGACAAGACAGTTAGGTTTTAGATTTGTTTCAAGTGTTTGCACTGTTGTCAGTGAGTCAGTAGAAATGTCTTAGGAGATTTTAATTCAAAAAATTAAAACCATAAGAATATTTTACCAAGGCCTGTTCATTTCAGTCATTGCCAACTGAAATACTCCGGACATATTTAAAAACAACAACAACAACATAAAAATGTATAAAAACATCAAGATTTATTGATAAATGAAACAAAACTAGATTTAAACATGAATCTCTGTGACTTCCAAAAGAAAGCACAACTAGAGCCCTTCTGCCTCTGCTGTAAGACCACACATGGATGAGGAACAACTAAATGAATATAACAGAATAAAAAAGATTATGTGGATCATATTGTCCCCTTGTTTAAATTATTTTGTATGTTTTGGGTCAGTTAAATTATTTTTGTGACTATTGCTCAGTCCTAGCTGATGATGTGACTGCTGAAAACTTAAATGGATGATAATTGGATAAAATGATGGAAAGCAAAAGCAAAAAAAAATGTGGACAAGTAAATCAGCATCCCATAATGTTTTTACTTATTTTATTCAGCCTTTGCTCATTTTTCTGTCAGTTTTTAATCAACTCTTCTCTTATTTAATCAACTCTTCTCTTATTTTAAAGCAAGAGTTTATTCCAAAAGGGGATCTTCAAGGTGTTGAAAAAAGCCATGACTTGTAAAAAACAGCAGTGACTTCTGCAATCAATAAACTTTAACCTTGGAACTGAGACTACCCTGTTTACAACACCCACCCATAAATCTGCATGTATGCACATGTGCGTACATGCATCGTTGCCTCGCTGCAAACTGGATTGCAAAGTTATTGCCAGGAGTAAAAAGGAAAAAGATAGCTAGTGTGGAACAACCTTGAGATTTAATATCTTTGTGCCAAACAGAAGCATTCACACACAGAGAAGCTGTATGCACACAGAAGCACACATAAAGGAAATATCTGCCTCTCTCCACAGATTAATCATTTTTCTCAATACATGTCATTAAGGACGACTTCTAACACACAGCCGCATCTTCAGATTTCTATTGCATTATCGATTCCCTCCCCCTTTTCTCCTCTCTTTATCCCCTGTCTCCGTTGCTTGCTCACCCTCATCAATCCCACCTGTTCTCTTACTTCATCTCTCTTTTTCTCTTTTCTCTTTTCTTTGCCATTCCCACATCTCAAATCTGTTTCTCCAACACCCCCACAGGCACAGTTTATCTTTATTTTTTTACATTTCTATGGAGCTCGATACTCCTACACCATCTTCAGTTAAATACGCCCTTTCATGTTGTTAGCATGCTGTTGTAGACATGGTGCAGGTGTGTTTTAGCACTTTATAAAAGGATGAAACCCCTAGAATCATTTAAAACCAGAAACTCCTGTCCACCTTGAAGAAAATTTGAAACAGAGCCCCATCATTAGGGATGCTCGTGCAGTGATGCCAAACTAATGTTCTCATAGTCTCATCTAAGACCATTTTGAAATGTTTGTGTAGTGGTCACACTTTATAGCGTGATGACTGCAAATAAATTATGACCAATAAGGTGCGATAATTCCATATAAATATGAAATACCAACCTAGTTATTTTTACTTGTTCAGGGACCATAAACAAACTTCGTATTAATTCAGACCTAGTCAGGTATATAGTTAAAAAGGAATTTTATTCTTTTCTAAGCTAATGATTATACATGGCAAGATATGAATAAAGAGATGTGATGGGGTGGATATGCGGTGATGGAATGTGATGTGTAAGTGGTTTGATGTAAGTTAGATGTTTATCAGAATCTTTGTATCTGAAAGAAACTGTGAAATCTGGGTGAAAAATCAAATCAAAGATACTTTATTGATCCCAGAGGGAAATTAGAGTTTCAGTACACACAATTTAGAGATCAGACATACATGGGCAAGACACATGACAAGAATTGGTGACTGTGGTCATTCGCAACCCTGAGTCACGTACCTTATTAGAGATAAGAGTGTTACATGAGGATTGTTTCAGGTAGAGGGGAAAAAAAAGGCACTTCAGAGTTACTCTCCACCGGGAGGGCAGCTTTGCGCTGCATAAAAAAAAAAAAAAAAACAACAAAAAAACACCTCAAACATATATGCAACAGACTTCAGACAACACAACATAAGTGTCCACTAGGTGGGGTGTAGGGCTGTCGCGGTTGAGGAATTCCCCCTGCGGTGACTCAGGGCAGCTCAATATGTCAGTATGCGATATTTTTGCACCCCGTTTTTATTTTTGTACTTAGCAAATGTGTTTGTTATTTACTAAACTCATGGCAATATTTCCTTTGAAACATTGTGCTTACACATTTAAAAAATGTTAGAAAAAATACATGGCCATTTTTAACACTTTATTGAATGCAGATCAAAGGGCAGTAACAGCATTCTCTGACTGAACTTAAAAACAACATTCAGGAGGTTTAAGTTTGAAATGCAAATTTGGCTGCAACATCTAACAGAAATTAAAAAAAGTGCCCGTTTTGTTTTATGGTTTAAAATAAAGTATAAAAAATGAGATGTCCCAGGCACTATCATTTCACTTTCACACACAAGAATAACTGTGATTTATAACTTGGTCATGTCCCTGTTACGCGCAAGGAAAACCAGCATGTTAAATGCGGTTTGAGAGAGGATCTGAGAGGGGTGACAACATTTCCAGCGACACTAAAAACCCTCTCGGATGATGCGCTTGTTGCGCAAATACACATGTACTTACGTGCGACTTTGGAGAGCAATAGAAATCTCCCATGGTTGTTGCGCCACCATGTCAGACGGTTTTCATTAGGGTCAATGGGTTCCTCCTGCAGGTAGCGAGTGAGCTCCAGCTCGGCTCTAACTCTCTTCGGGACGGTTACAGATGACGTGCTTGTCCGTGACTTCATCAGGTCTCCAAGCGTTTTTTTTTTCTTTGCCGCTGGTGGCAGCACTGCCTGCTCCAAGGTCTCTGGCTGGGCTGCAGCTGACGCACTTGCACCGCTCCCTCCATCTTCCATGTCGATCAGCGCGGACTTTACCTCTCAGCATGCTCTGTCGCAAGATTTAATCAACAGCGGTAATTCCGACCAGACACAGCACAGAAACAGAGGTGAAAGAGAAAAGAAAAGACAAAGGGTGGGGAGGGAGGGGAGAAGGGGGTGGGGTGGGGGGTCCACAAAAATAAACAATAATGAACAAAAGTCTCCTTCTTGACCTGCAGAAAGAGAAAGAATAGAAAAAATGGGACACACAACAATGCATCAGGAGCATGCTATCACTGCGTCAACCTGATGATGAAATATAAAATCAACATTGTTTAACTGAACAATCACACAATAATAAATCACAGTGCATTTAGTGGCAACGACAGCCTTAAGACATGTATTGAATGTGCCCAAGCCCATACTTTTGAGAGCACTATGTGAGCACCTGTGTGTGTACACGCACTTGTTTATGTAAGGTTTCTCTATAGGAGCATCCAATAGAGAGTGTGAGGGACCACAGATCTGCCCCCCAAAGATGTGTAGGAGACGGGGGGATCTCCAAGTCCCAGAGATCCAGGCACTGCCCCAGAACACACAAACCCCAAGGAGACTGCAACCAGAAAGGGCCCGCCCCCCTTGAGAGGCACAGAGGATCGCCCCGGGGGGCCACAACCAGCAGCCGGCAGAGTCGCGGGAGATATCAGCGGCAAGCCCACAGGCCCGCCCGCAGCCTCCCACCCCCTAGCCGGCCGAGCCTGGGACCCAGCGACCCGGGACCCAGCGACCCAGGACCCAGGGGCGACCTCCCCCGCCGGGGACCCAGCAGGGCCCAGGGACCCAGACCCCACCAGGCAGCCACTGGGATTGATCAGGCAGACGCCAAAAATCTTAAACCCCCAGGAACACTCAGACAGAGCAAGGCACCACATCCCACACCAGGTGTGGCAGGGAGAGGGGAGACGAAGATCTATATCATCAAAAGAAGTCCCAGGAGAAGAGAGGAGTCAAAGGCCCCACCTGACATATACAGTCATACACAAACACAGTCACACACTCCCTCCCTCATACTCACACATACACATACAACCAAAGACTTACAAAAATGCACGCTGGACACCCTCTCATGCTCCCCATACACACCCTATTCAATCTGGTCCCGGTACTGCTGCACATTGGGTACAACTATCACCAGTTACCAGAGTTTGACCCTTTCTGCTGGGGGTGCTGATGAGCAGGCCCCCCCACCCAACGCTGAGCACAGCAACCCACCACCCCAGACCCCAACCAGACAGCCAGATCTCCCTCCTAGCCTCCAGCCCCAGGAAGCCTAGCAACAACAGAGGTGTGCTAAGACCCCTAGTTTCCCTCCGCCTGCTCCAATATATTGTTGTGTGTAACTTGTTAAATCAATCACATACTGATCATAACATCTGCAATGGCTCTGCAACTGCAATATTCATTTCATCTTCATTGATTTAAGCACAGATTATTCAAACTGTTCATTAAAATATCTTGTTTGTTCAACCATATGATTAATTAACTTATGAGTTGTAAAGTCTTGCAGGATTCGTGTAGATTGACTTTTATTCAGAGTGAGGAATCCAGCAGTCGGGCTTTTATTCAGAGAGATAAGGGTTTTTGTGGGAGACCTTGCCAGTTTATTTATGTCTGCATTGAAGAACAGTAAGTGAGCAAAAGGTTGATTTGTGCCTCTGGATCCTCCAGCTGGCACAACCTTGACTTTGCAGCTATGGCGTGTATGAAAGGTTATGCTGTGTCAATTCATTGGTGAAATTTGACCTTTTTGATTCATAACATTTGTGGTGCTTGTAAACAAACTGTTATCTCACATTCCCTCCCTTGCAGGTTTGGCCAGGGAAGACTGTATTCCCAGACTACACCAGCCAAAACTGCATCGATTGGTGGGTAGATGAGTATGAGCGGTTCTACAAGGAGATCAAACATGATGCCCTCTGGATTGTAAGTCAGTTTCAAAAAACATAAAGTGAAGTCAGTAATTAGTTGTTCAATAGCCACAAATTCTGAAGCAGACATTCTGAAACCAATTACAAACACACACAAAAAGGGAGAGCGAGCATACATTTTTGACATTCTCACTGGCTAATGTTCAAAGCCAGAGCACAAAAGCCAACTGTTAATGACTCCTGAGCCGAAATTTCAACTCACTCATTAGTATTACTATTGTCTGCAACACACACAATGATGTTAGAGTATCTTTTTGAATCTTTACTTAGCCCAGGTCACTGGAATAATTCTTATTATAACAGAGAAAACACGTTGGATTTGGAGAATATCCTTTTCAGCACAACATGCCCATGTTAACCAAGCCCATGTTAACCAATGATGACCAGCTACAGTTGTATAAATGAGTTAGAACCCAAATGGCCTTTGTATGACCTTTATAAGGTCTTTAATGGTAAATCTGCAAATCAAGCTAGTTTAAAACGTGTTTTCATGCCTCTTTATACTGTTCTAACATACTATAACTATACATTTATTGTGGCGATAAAAAAGAAGAAAAATAAAATGAAGAGGCTCAAATATTTGTTTAAACCAAACCAGTGAATGGACCATTTGGTTGACTGCGTCACCAAACCGCTGCACTTCCTCATTTACCTGGGTCTTCCAAACATGATGCGCTCATGCATTTTGCAACAGAAAACCTTGGATGTGAGAAGTTCTCCGCTCAGTAATATCAGAGAAGGTGAAGCAGCCATCTGCTAACACTTCAACTTTAGGTCAAAATACCAGAGTCCCAAAAAGAAAAACACCATATGAAGTCATGGACAACAAAATATTATTTCCCCTGGTGTTTAGCACTATCTTGTTTACTCGGGCAATGAGAGTTACGGTATCAGGTGGATGTGGCTTAGGGATGACAGCTGAAAGGATTGGTGCTAGTTCCATGACCATATTTGTGTTTTAAAGCTATTGCAGCTTTAAACACAGATAAAGAACACACTGGGATCCCCATTATGCATGATAGGTTGATGATGGTTTTGAGAATTCAAAAACTATCCATAGTAAAGTCATGGTAACTTATGATCTGGATGGTGGTAACTTGGATTCTGAGTGAAGCTCTGGGGAACTTACCAAAGACACTGGTTCTGTAAACATCATTATGGATTTAGTTGTCCATGCAAGAGGCTGAATGGACCTTGTTAGCCTTTTACCATGGCTACAACCCCAACTTGCAATTGGGTCGTGGTAGCATAACACATTTTCCTGGCTTTAAGTTGGAAATTGCCATAGTTGAATTCAATTCAAAAATACTTTATTAATCCCAGAGGAAAATTGATTGCTGTAGTAGCTCAGAATAATAATGATAATCAAGTTGTCAAAGAGTTTTTGTATATTACAATTGCTGCTGGCAGGAAGGATCTCCAGTAGCGGTCAGTGTTGCAGTGAAAGTGAAGAAGCCTCTGACTGAAGACACTCTTCCGTTGTCGGACAGTCTTGTGAAGAGAATGCTCAGGGTTGTCCACAATTTTCTTGATTCTCTGCAGAATCCTTCTTTGCATTATCTCCTCCAGTGGTTCCACAGTCGTCCCCAGAACAGAACCAGCCTTTTTTATTAGGCTGTTGAACCTTTTCAGGTCCCTGCTTCTGATGCTACTATCTCAACAGATACGGCTGAAGAGATTACACTCTAACAACAGACTTGTAGAAGATCTGCAGCATCTTGCTACAGACATTGAAGGACCTAAGCGTCCTCAAGAAGTGCAGTCTGCTGTGTCCCTTCTTGTAAACGGCTTCGCTGTTCTTTCTCCAGTCCAGTCTGTTGTCCAGGTGAACTCCAAGGTATTTGTATTCCTCAACCACCTCTACTTCTTCTCCCATGATGGAAACAGTGTTTGACTCCACACTGTTTCTTCTGAAGTCTAAAATCATCTCCTTTGTTTTGTTTACATTCAAGGTCAGATGATTGTTCCCACACCATGCCACAAAGAACTCCACTAGCTCACTGTACTCAGCTTCCTGTCCATCTCTGATACACCCGACAGCTGCAGAGTCATCTGAGTATTTCTGTAGATGACAGGTCAGATTTGTACTGAAGTCTGAGGTGTACAGGGTGAAAAGGAATGGTGAGAGTACAGTCCCCTGTGGTGCTCCAATGTTACTGATCGCCTGGTTTGATGTGCGGTTTTTCAGTCTCACAAACTGTGGTCTGTTTGTCAGGCAGTCTTTAGTCCAGGCAATAGTTGAGGCCCCCACCTGTGTCTTCTGGAGTTTCTGGCAAAGTACATCAGGCTGAATTGTGTTAAATGCACTGGAGAAATCAAAGAACATTACCCTCACAGTGCTGCCTGATTTGTCCTGATGACAATGGGTTGGTTGAAACTGCTGGATGATGGCATCTTCAACTCCATGGCGATAAGCAAACTGCAGCAGGTCCCGATATGTTCTAGTTTGCTTATTCAGGTGGACCAACAGGAGTCTCTCCAGGACCTTCATGATGTGGGATGTCAGGGCAACCGGTCTGTAGTCGTCATTGACTGATGGGCTAGTTTTATTTGGAACTGGAACAAGGCAGGATGTTTTCCACAGGGCTGGAACCTTCTCCTGGGCCAGGCTGAGGTTGAAGAGGTGCTGCAGAATCCCACAGAGCTGCTCTGCACAGGCCTTCAGTACTCTGGGGCTGACACCATCTGGACCTGCAGCTTTGTTCCTGTTCAGTCTCTCCAGCTGCCTTTTCACCTGACTTCTAGAGACAGATAGGTGGAAGGGGGAGGTAAATGGGTCAGCAACATCTCCTGCTTGTTTGAAGACAGATTTATAGAACCAGAAGAGTCCATGACTGCATTAGAGGACAAAAAAGTTGGCGTGTGACAGGAAAATGTTGGATCAGAGGAGGATGGGATGTCTGATTGGCTGGAGACAGGCAAGGAGGATGCTGGGTTTGTTCCTGAACTGAACCTATTGAAGAACTTGATCAGTTCATTGGCTGTGTCCAGGCTGCCATCCGTGCAAGCCTTCCTCTGCTTGAAGCCTATGATCTTATTCATCCCTGACCAGACATCTCTGATATTGTTCATCTGTAGTTTGTTCTCCAGCTTCTTCCTGTATGCCTCCTTGCTGTCTCTTATCTTGATCTTCATTTGCTTCTGTATACTTCTCAATAAATCCCTGTCTCCCTCCTTGAAGGCTCTTTTCTTCTCATTTAGCAGATTCTTCAGTTCCCTGGAGATCCAGGGTTTGTTAATAGCGAAGCATCTTACTTTTCTGGTGGGTATGATGATGTCCACGCAGACGTTTATATAGTCAGTGGCACATCCAGTCATGGCATTGATGTCCGCTTCATATCCTTGGCAGAGAGTCATCCAATCTATTGTCTCAGAACAACCCTGCAGGGCTTCTTCAGCATCCTGTGACTATTTTCTCACAGTTCTTCTTGCCACAGGTTGCCTCTGAACAAGTGTTTTGTATTCTGAGCAGAGAAAAACAAGATTGTGATCTGATTGTCCCAGAGGAGGTCTTGTTTTGGACATTTATGCATTCTTTACATTTGCATAACACAAATCCAATGTCTTGTTTTCTCTGGTGGAGCAGCTGATAAACTGTTGAAATGTTGAAAGTGTAACAGACAGAGAGGCATGATTAAAATCAACAGATATAGCCACAAATGCATTGGGGTGCTGGGTTTGTAGCTTAGTGACAACGGAACTGATGGCATCACATGCATTTTCAGCAATGGCTGAAGGTGGAATATAAATGTTTGCCAAGACAACACTGGGGAACTATCTTGGCAAATAATATGGGCAACAACTTACTGGCAAGAGTTCAACATCTGGGCTGCAGAGACGACATTTCACTGAAACATGTCATGGATGGCACCATCTGTTGTTGACAAGCGCTGCCACTCCACATCCTTTTCTTTTCCCGCTCCTCTTCAGATCTCTGTCTGCTCGTACAGTCAGGAATCCTGGCAGAGCGATGCTGGAACCGGGGATATGGTCCTGCAGCCAGGTCTCAGTGAAACACATAACAATGCACTGCCGATACTCTGGCTGAGTCCCTGATAGGACTAGGAGTTCAACCATCTTGTTGGCCAGTGATCTCACATTGCTCATTATGATTGATGGAAGAGATGGTTTGAATTTCCTCTTTCTCTGTCTCCGTTTTGCTCCCACTCTGCATCCACGAGTGGAAGTAGAGCTAACGTTAAAGGAAATGACAAATGTCAAAAGAGCAAGGAGAGCAGACGCTTTATAGGACTGACACAATTGTTAGATGATTACATAAACTGGTTTATAGCTAGTTCACCAAAGACTGTTTATTAGATGCCCGAGGAGCAGTTTGGATACTACATCGATTGTCCCATTTCCAAACGGAAACCGTTTCTGGACTGATTGTTCGTGCTAGGTAGCTAGCTAAGTGAATTACTCAGGAGACTCTTTGTTGTCACCTGAACATTCATACTGAATATTTTGTCTGTCATGAGTCCGGCCTGGTGCTCCCATGTGAACGGTTAAAAGGTGGATAATTGGAGACAAAATCTTCAAGTCAGTTACCAATGCTTTGTTTGGAGTGGTACTGCTGAAACCAGGAGACGAAAGGCCAAGTCGTGCATCTTTCAAATGTGTGGCGTCCACCTGAACCGACTACACTCTTGTCTCCACTGGTGACGTGGGTGCGGTCATGATGGCGGCACACAATGTTTCTCCGCATGTAACAGCTGCAGTTCTGCATACCAACGACTCGAGGACGGTATTCATCAGCTCAAGATGAGTGTTCACCAGTTGGAAGATGACAGGAGGACCAAGGACAAACTCCTGATCAGCTTTATGTCTGTTGCACTTGATCAATCCAAGTGTATCTGCCAAATCCAGAACTCTCGCGCTCACCTGTTGGTCATTTCCCCTGCCTCCGGGCAGGCTCCTGCTTCAGACACTGCCGCAACTCTTCCGCTTACAATATCAGCTAATGTTGGACCTAATAATGCTAGTGCTGGACCCAGT